ATATATATATATATATATATATATATATATACATACACACACATATATATATATATACATGCACACACAAACACACACACACACACACTGAACAGAACATTTAATAGAAATCTTTTATGATGCAACAACAACTTGTTTATTGAGCTCATTCAACTTTTTGATACACCTCCCAAATTACTGGTTCAAAAAAAAAAAAAAAAAAAACTAAATTTTTCAATGTTTCAAAAGTTTCCATCACTAATGAAGTGCAGCAATTTCTATGTGATTTAGGTAGCCTGTCCAGTTTTTATTTAGAGCAGCTAAATAATATCCGGATTTAACAGTAACTAATGAATTTACTGTCAAGCATACTCTATATATAATCATGCTAATTAGTGTTAAAGGTTTAGTGCTAGCATTGCGCGTTGCACTATATTTATGGTCTCATGTTTAAAGCATCTGCAATAAGACCATGCAATTCCGCAAGGAGTCAAGCTTCAATGAAATCAGCTTCCTTTGAGATGCAGTTATTCCACTTTGTCCAATAAGCTATAGCGGTGTACCCAGCTCTCCCCGGGGCTGCGATGTCCTCCAGAGCATTTCTTCATCAAGGCGAAAACCAACAACAGAAGAACCCTCAAGTCTTTTAAGTCTGATTTAGGACGTATAGGCCAATTTGTTGGTTCAGATCCATTTAGCTGGCCTTTTCATAGCTACTGTAAAACACTGGGGACCGTGTTCATTACTTCAACCCTTTTCTTTTCTTTTTTTTCAGTTTTTTTATCTTATATAGGCACAAATTTTTTTGTAAATGCTTACCAGACTCTTTCGTCCTTCAGTGAGCACACCGCAGAACATTTTTGTTTGCTGGGACACTTCAGGGAATACTTTAGATTGCTTATGCTGGAGGATTTCAGATGGGTTGCTGGGCTTTTCTGTAGGCTTAAGGTTGTTTGAGGTAAACTCTACAACATGATGTATCTCTACTCTTTCAAGACAAAAAAATCCCTGGGTCGTACTATTTGTATTCACTGTAGAAGCTGCTGTGAAATTATTAAAGATCTATGATGTGTTCGATTTGGGTTGTGGAACATTTTCTCAGTACCTTGTGCACCAGAGGTTTTGCTGTTGCCACCAGCTGCTCCGGATCCTTGCCTCTGTTGAAAAATAAAAGAGAAGAGGGAATAAATAACAATCTTTTTTAGCACAGTAAATTGATTTTCAACAGTAGTTTGCAAACACAAACCTAAAAGTACATCAAAACCTGCCTGAATCCACAAATACAATGCATATAGCATTATTTCATGAAAATATAATTTTAATAAATATAAAACTCTTAAAATGCTGTTATCAAATCTGGATGTAATATATTAGGGATTAACCCAAGTAGTGGGTTATTTTGTTATTGAGTGAATAGGACCAAATTTAACTCAATGTTTAGGTTAGTCTATTTTTAACCTATTTAGGCTAAAATAACCCAGCATTTTCCCTGTTTCTTTAAAAATGTTGCACTGTAGAAATGCTGGATTATTTAGGTTTGAATAAATGAAAATCCATTTAGTTTAAATAACCCAGCATTCTTCTTGCACTTTAAAAAATGCTGTTACTTCAACCCAGTGGGTGTGATATAATAGGGACTAACCCAAGTACTGGGTTATTTTGTTAATAAATGAATAGGACCAAATTCAGTCCATATTTTAACCAATTTCGGTTTAATAACCCAGCATTCTTCTCTGTTTCTTTAGAGAATGCTGCACTCTAAAAATGCTGTGTTACATCTGCCCAATTCTGGGTGTAATATAATAGGGATTAACGGTTAACCCAAGTAGTGGGTTATTTTGTTATTAAATTAATAGGACCAAATTTAACTCAATGTTTGGGTTAGTCCATTTTTAACCTATTTAGGCTAAAATAACCCAGCATTTTCCCTGTTTCTTTAAAAAATGTTGCACTATAGAAATGCTGGATTATTTAGGTTTGAATAAATGAAAATCCATTTAGTTTAAATAACCTAGCATTCTTCTTGCACTTTAAAAAATGCTGTTACTTCAAGCCAGTGGGTGTGATATAATAGGGACTAACCCAAGTACTGGGTTATTTTGTTAATAAATGAATAGGACAAAATTTAACTCACTGTTTTCGTTAGTTTATATTTTACCCCTTTAGGGTAAGTAACCCAGCATTGTTCTCTGTTCATTAGAGTATGCCACACTCCAAAAAGTCTGTTACTTCAACCAGAATCTGGGTGTAATATAATAGGGACTAACCCAAGTACTGGATTGTTTTGTTATTAAATTAATAGGACCAAATTTAGTCCATATTTTAACCAATTTAGGTTTAAATAACCCAGCATTTTTCTCTGTTTCTTTAGAGAATGCTGCACTCTAAAAATGCTGTGTTACCTCTGCCCAATTCTGGGCGTAATATACTGTAATAGGGATTAACCCAAGTAGTGGGTTATTTTGTTATTAAATGAATAGGACCAAATTTAACTAAATGTTTGGGTTAGTCCATTTTTAACCAATTTAGGCTAAAATAACCCAGCATTTTCCCTGTTTCCTTAAAGAATGTTGCACTCTAGAAATGCTGGGTTGTTTAGGTTTAAATAAATGAAAACCAATTTAGGTTAAATAACCATTCTTCTCTATTTCTTTAGAGAATGCCACACTTTAAAAAATGCTGTTACTTCAACCCAATTCAGTGTATAATATAATAGGAACTAACCCAAGTACTGGGTTGTTTTTGTAATTAAATAAAAAGAACCAAATTTAACTCAATGTTTTGGTTAGTCCATTTTAACAAATTTAGGGTAAATAAATAACCCATTTTTGAGTGTATGCTACACTCTAAAAATGCTGTAACTTCAACCCAATTCTGGGTGCAATGTAATAGGGACTAACCCAAGTACTGGGTTATTTGTTAATAAATGAATAAGACCAAATTTAGTGCATATTTTAATCAATTTAGCTTAAATAACCCAGCATTCTTCTCTGTTTCTTTAGAGAATGCCACACTTTAAAAATGCTGTTTCTTCAACCCAATTCTGGTTATAATATAATAGGAACTAACCCAAGTACTGGGTTATTTTTGATATTAAATGAATAGAACCATATTTAACTCAATGTTTTGGTTAGTCCATATTTTAACCAATTTAGGGTAAATAACCCAGCATTCTTCTCTGTGTCTTTAGAGTATGCTACACTTTAAAAATTATGTTACTTCAACCTAATTCTGGGTGTAATATAATAGGGACTAGCCCAACTACTGGGCTATTCTGTTATTAAATAAAAAGGACCAAATTTAGTCCATATTTTAACCAATTTAGGTTTAAATAACCCACCATTTTTCTCTGTTTCTTTAGAGAATGCTGCACTCTCAAAATGCCGTGATATTTCAACCCTATTTTGAGTGTAATAGGGACTAACTCAGCTGCTCGGTTACTTTTTAAAATTTAATTATTAAGACCAAATTTAACAAATTTTGTATGTGTAAAGCTGTTTGTGTATTGTGTAAATCTTATTAAATGCAGAAGTGTATATTATTTTAAAATGTAACCCAGTAAAATTACTTTATAAACATTGTGATACAGAGTATTAGAGGCCTGTGGCTTAAAAAGTAATGCAAATCCAGTGTTCATGACAGTTAAGACTGCAAAAGGATGAAACAAAGCATTATAAATGTACATTTTTCTGGATATTTTCGACCAACTGTATTTTAAATTCGAAGTCAAAATCAAAACCATAACTGCAGTTGTGCATTGTTTTTGGTAGTATAATGTACAAAAAAAAACAGTTTGCTTTGGGGTCTTTGATTTTCCGCCAAAGCCAAACCAAACTGTGTGTTTAGCCCTAAAGTCATATTGAGAAATATGATAAAAACCGAGCGCAGTTAAACAGCTGAGCGAGCGAGAAGGCATCGCCAAACATGTTTTCCCTGGGCACATCCTCTCCTGCATTATTAACTGCACTTTCACTGAATTTCAAACAGTGTTTGTAGTGCTTTGATGTGAGGAGCTCCAGCAACCTGCATGCTTTCATGCACTGCAGAATGTTCAGCCAACACCAGCTCCGAAATAAACCGCTGGACAACCACACTGGCACTCCTGTTTAATTCTTTTTAATTGATGTTTTTGGATGTATATGTCATGTAGAAATTATTTTTCCAATCACAAATATTCTTTGAGAATGTGGAGCTTCTAAGGGTTTTCATCAAGTGAGAGATCGATTTTAACAGCTTGTAAGAGATAAGAAACATGCTTTCAACTCAATCATCACCTTGATCAACATGTCTTGGCATTTCAGGAAGCCTTCAGAACATGGCATAACCAATTTAATACGACTTTACAACAAATGCATTGTGGTTTGTGTGCGTCTGAGTGTTGCCATGTCCACTTATAAGCATCTATGGGCTTATCTTCACAACACAACTTGGCTCATAAATTGATTCAATTCGTTAAAAGGGACAGTTCACCCAAAAATGAAAATTCTGTATCAAAATTCACACAATTATAATTATATTATTCCAGAACCTATTGTGAGTTTCTTCTGTTGAACACACAGGTACAATGAAAAATCTTCCAAATATCTTCTTTTGTGTTTAAGAAATCCTAGTTGTAAAATTTTTAATGAGTAAGTGAGAAATGTTTCACTTTTTGGGTGAATTACTTTTACATTTACACTTGGGTAAAGTTGATACAGAGTTGTAAAATTGGTATTGTCACCGACTCGGTCCCAGTCTTTCCCCTTGCTGGCCAGCAGAGGCCACCATCTCCGGTCTTCCAGCATTACATTATACACTTAAACTGATAAGCGCATACACCTGAGACTGATCCCGTTAACGACCCACGCTTACTGATATAAGCCTCACTCACACACCAGTCCAGTGCGAAGTCTTGTTCTGCCACGTCTAACATCTCTGATCTCTGAGCGTTAGTCCCTTGCCTGATCTCCTGTGTATTACCCTGGACTATCACTCTGTGTCTGTCAGCCGCCAGCCCTTCGACCCTTATTGCAAACAGTTGATGTGAGTTCGCACGTTAGTGCGTATTGTATGATTGTGATTGAACTGTGTCTATTAAATATACTGCAAATGGATCATTTTGTGTCAAGCTCCTCGTTACAGGTATACAGTGCATCAGGAAAGTATTCATAGCGCTTCACTTTTTCCACATTTGTTTTGTTACAGCCTTATTCCAAAATGGAATAAGTGAATTTATTAACTCAAAATTCTACACATGATACCCCATAATGACAATATGAAAAAATTCTTGACCTGTAAAGTTTTTGGGTGCATTTTAAGGCACATGACTCCCACTAGTTAGTTTGGTTAAAGACGCCCCTATTATGGGTTTTTTGAAAATGACCTTCCATAAAGCGTTTAAGACAGCTCTAAGTAAATGAAAACATCTAGCTGATGTTTAAATCTGAAAGTGCGCCTTGTTTAAAATAGCAATATTTTAATAGTCGACTTAAGGCTCGTACACACCGGGACGCTTTTAATTTGCGTTTACTGTCAGCCTTTTACGAGACGTTTTTCTGGATTCAAACCAAATCGATTTTCACTGGCGTCAAGCTAGTTAGATGGCGTTACACAACTTTAAGCTTCTGACATCCCGCCTATAACACAGAAGAAGAGGAACAGAGCAAGTTAACATGCTTGTTGTTAAAGTTACTGGTGACTCGAACAAACACGGATGGTTCAAGCAGCAGCTCCAGCTCTAGTGATGAAGAAATGATTATTGTTGACCAGTGCAATAAGCAGCTCCACGTTCATATCGCCTCGTATTGACAGTTTTCGACTTGAGCGCCTCCACGTGCTGTTTACTGTAACTTCAGCAGCTCCGTGCAAGTGAACAAAAGTGCCAATCTGATTGGTGGAGAGGGTTTTGACGCATTTAAATGAAGCTTTTGTGCCTGGCGTTTTGCGCGCTTGTGTGCACGATCACATTGGTGCCCTTGTTTTAGTCACGAGGCGTTAAACATCGATGGAAAACACAAGCAAAAAACGTCTCTGTGTGCACGGGCCTTAAGGGTGCTTTCACATCTGTAGTTCGTTTCATTTGGTCCGGACCAAGGGTAATAAATGATACATTGTTGCATTTTCTGCCGTCTTTGGGTCGTTTTCACACCACACTGCTGGCTTTGGTCCGAACCAGTTG